AACTACGAATCAGGATGTTTAGATCTCTTTTGCTCTATTAGCAACAAACACTAAACCATTTCAAACTTTACATTACGCCTACATTTATTGAGTATTACTGTATTAATTTCCCATGGAAATAGGTTGATGCAATTTCTGTCAGTCAGTTTCTCCTTTGGGAGCCTCTCTACAGCCATTTTTTTGAAGTAACTTCTGGCTAGAGGCAGTGACACAAAAACGGCGCGACGCATCTTTTTTTGACTCAAACTTTATTTATTTGTTATAATCCACAGAAACCTTAAGTTATTTAATTCTTTAATGTTCATGTCTCTTTTATAGAAAGAGCTCAGGGAACAACCACTACTTGAAACGGAATCGAGTACTCTCACGCTCATGCAACAAAGGCTAAGTCGTCTTGTGGGAGAATGTGATGTAAGCAGGATGACATGTTGTGTTCCGATGTGCGGTCGGGTTTTTGATTCTGTACCGGTTAGTACTAAAAATAAGCCTTTTTTTATCTTATGGCTAATTGAGTTGCGACCGCTAAAAAGTTTGTAATCATAGGTACTGGCATTTCATATGTCTTACTCACACCATGATTTGGCAACAAAGTCTGCATATGATACGCTATGTTTCGTATGTGGTGTGCAAACGAATAATGTGAAGGTAATATTCGGTTATCTTAACCCTTCTCCACATTAAAGTGTTTGTCGAACTTATAACTGAAAAAAATGAGCACTTAAGTTCACATCCTATCTCCAGCTGAATAGTGTGACCAGTTTTGCAGTTATCTCTTTTTTCATTTTTTTAAATTTCTTTATGAGCCTAAATTCATGAGGGATTTACGTTGGTGGACTTAGCCTTTAGGTCAACATTAAATAAGTACAACATTTAAAAAAAAGAGCTTTGTTTTGCCAGAAAAGAGCAGTACTGGAGCTGCACTGTTACATGTCTTTTCTGATCTTACTCATTTATAAGAAAGCTACTTCAGGGGAAGGTAATTCATCTGGTTAGCAAACACAAAGCACTTTGTGCAGCTCACAACGAGCAGTGCCTACACCAACGGATTCCAGTAATATCTCCTCTGGCACCAGCAGCCATGCGTCTTACACAGTACTCTGGGGACGAGTATGTTACTATTAATGTTATGCGATCCTAACTAGCAAATGATTTTTGTTACTTATGGAATTAGCAGTTAGCTAGTTCAAACTGCTAGATTGTTCTTTTTCAGAGAAGAAGAGGAAGAGTCTAGTTCCTACGAAGATGTTCCCTTTGAAGATCTCTCTGGTAATTACGTCGGAATGGAGTACGGTCGTGACGAAGTACATTATGCATAGGAAATGATTATCTCCTTCATCATTCGTATGTCCAGAGATGAATTTGGATTAATATTGCTGTTGAACAAATTATAAAAATTCTTGCTGCTACCTCCGTTTTCTTGTTTTCTTGGTTCAACCTAAACTCATACACGTATTGTCTCGTGGACTGCCGTGAGTGGGTTTTAAGAAGCATTTTCAGGCTTGTAAACAGTTGTGTAACTTAATTATGATCACTCGACTTATATTCCGAACTCCTCGAACTTCTATACTATCTAGACGACTATTTGGCGGTCAAGAAATGGCTTATGCTGAAAAACGCGTGATTGGGTTCGTCCAAGTTTTCGTAGTCAAATCTGAATATTTCATTGTTTGTTTTGATCCCTTTGAAGCTCAAAGAGAAGGATTATTTGCTAGTAAAGCGGAAGCACAGGTGTTTGCTTGGCATGACTTATACATTGGCTTAGATGCTCGCAACGTTTGCTTTGGCTCCCTCGCGATGTTTGTAAGACACAGCAGTTATACTTTGTCAGCTCCTTATCATTTGGAAGAAAAGACGCTCAATGGGAGGTTTTCACCAGTTGCCATGGTGTCACCTTACTAAGAGTTCCGTTTCAAAGACAGTTTTTTGTGTTACGATTAAAACAATGATAGACGCGATTTTTCTCGCTGTCACGAAATGTATTGACTGGGGTAAAATACGGGGCTGTGATGTGAATCGCACAATAGGAGTTTATAAGTAAAGTTTTTTTGATGAAGTGCAGCTGCATTAGAAAATGTTTTCGATGTAATGTGTGTCAGACCGTCATTTATTCTCTTTTTAAGCAACTAAATCAGTTATTTAGTAAGTTCATCTTACTTTTGCAAAATGTGACAAGAACAGTGGTTGCGGTTTTCAAAGTTTTTGTCACTACAAACTAGAGTACTTGTACTGACAATCTTAGAATACTTATTACAAGCTGGAAAGAAAAAGATGCGTGCAACTCAATAGTATATTACTTTGGGAATATCTGAAAGTAGAGGCGAGTGAAATGAGAAATTCCCGCAAAACTTGTATATTTTGAGTGCAGGATTTTTTTTATTTGTTTTAGAGCACAGAAGAAAATTTTTAAAAAGTGCTGTCGGCACAAAAAGAAATTTCTAAACATTTTTGGAAGACAGCTGGGAAAGTTGTCTTCCATTAGGTTAGTCTGTAGAATCGACAAGGCATATACAGAATTTATCGAGAGTTCTGTGAAACTTATGTAGACTGATGTTGAACGGCGCATGAAAGATTATAAGTGACAGATGATTGTACTGCGGTCAGATTTATGGAACTGAATTTGCTTTACTTGTCTACCTTGCGCACTTTTTCCAGCCAGAGAATAGATTGACTCGTCGCAAGAAAATGCATTCTAATTAAATTGTTGTCAGGCCTATGGCGTTTCTTGTTGCAAATTGTACTGTAAATGGAAAGAGTACATATAAATAGAATTCAAAGTACGTTGATACGGTTCAGCACAGCTTTGTACGTGAACAAAAGTCATCAATATTATTGCCAGGGCAAAGTCAAAATCATTACTTCAGTTGAATTCCCAATTTTTATAAGTAAAAAAAATAGATAATAAAATAAATGTAGTAGAGTACACTATGGAAACTTCAGCTTTTCACGAGAGCAAATGTTCGATGTAGTTGCTGACGTTGGGCAGTACCGGCATTTCATACCCTGGTGTCGACGTTCAGATATTCTTGAAGAGCACAAAAATGCACGGATAGCGGAATTAGAGATTGGTTTTCCACCTGTTCAGGAAAGCTATCAAAGTCGAATCATACTCGTGCGACCAGCGGTTGTTCACGTATGTTTCACCAATCTTGTTTCAAAATGAAAAACTTATTCACAAGCGTACTCCAAATTCCAGCTATAGCTACAAGCTTTTTGGGTTCTTTCATTAACGTTGAGTTCTTTTTTCATCATCCT